GATTAAATTACAAAATACCTGACTCAATCAATGAATTGCTGCACTGGTTTACACTGGTAAGCAATGAAAAAGTGAACAGATGATAGTAAAATCATGAAATGGCTACATTTTATTTAAAAAGCACTTATAATTGTAGACATTTTAGATGAATAATATTGCACATTCAAATTCCTGTATCACATACCAATGAGAACTTTCGCTGCCTTAGTACGATAGTACTTAGACGTCTACAATTTTGTATTTTAGTGTACTCAATCGTTTTCATGTATGCACTTATTCACCTTTGCCAGAGTTTAGATATCAAATTTCCTAACATTATTAAACTTTGACTATCTTTTGAAATATCACTTCTACAGATTATAACCTGTAGTAATTTGATAAACTGTTAGAACAAATAAATGTGAACATGGAAATATAATCACAATGTGATGCACTTTCCAAATCTAGCAAATTTATATTGAATATTAGATTGTATTATACATATATATACAACCCAGACGGTAAACGAGTAGCTCAACACTGGATACTTATTGGAAACACATAAAATTCTTTGAGACTACAATCAGCCTTAACCAATGAACTGTAAGATATTTATTAATTCTTTAGCTTTGCAATACATTAAACATTAAAGAACTGTGAATGAATCTCTATAAAGTATGAAATAACTGTCCAAAATATTAACAACTATAACTAGGTAGCCATCAGTGATCTTGAGTGTTGTTAGGGGTGCGTGAATATCCTAACCAATGGTTGGAGACTCTGAATGACATGGCTCAGAATCGATCACAATGGTGTAGGTGTATACACTCTCTGTCTGCCCTTAAACGATGAGACTAAAATTGCTTCATATATTTCTTTCTTCCCTTACTATATCCTTATATGCAATCTTTCTTCTATATATTACCACCACTAACTTAACCACTCCTATGAATCCGGTGTTCATTTTGCTGTGCTGATGCGGTATGGTAACTTGGACCGATGCATATATGTTCCTGGTCCTACGTTTCAGCTGACTGACTGAGATAACCATCAAACCTTATTATAATTAGCAGAGAAAGTGACTTAAATTACTAGATTAAATCTTACTGGTAAATATTATATCTGTTATATTGACAAAGAATTATTGATAGATTAGTTCAGTTTACTGTATTCACATTTAAGTAAATGAACAGTCTACACATGTCTTCTATAGTTTACTTGATAATGTATAATCATTATATGATTAAAATTGAGTAGATCCAATTTCAGAATATTGATTTTTCAAATCTTTTTGTGAATAAATTCTCTTTCATTTTACAAGCTTCCTGGATATTGTTTGTATTTTATATTTTTTTACTGAATGTTTTTAAGACAAGACAAAAAAGGTTGATGGAATCTATTGCCTAATATGTTTGCATTTCATTTTTACTTTGTTTCGATAAATTCATCTATGTCTAATGTTCAACTGATACATGTATTTCTTATTCCTTACCTTTTTTTGTCAACCATATCGGGAACAATACACATTATCTTTTTGGTATGTGTAATTTATTTGTTTGTTTACATATCTATGCATGTGTTCATCTATGTATTTGTGTTAATCAGTTGTAATCCAACCAATCTGCTACAATAAGAAACAGATATAAAAACAAAAAATAAAAAAAAACTTCAAAACTATCTTTTTAGATATAGATCACAATGAAGAAAAAGTGAATTTTAAAAAATACACAGGGAGGTATGTTGTTTGTTGTTGTTGTTGTTGTTGAAAGAACCAAGTACAAACCATGGAGACTATTTTAATATTACGTATGGATATATTTTATCATGATCGAAACCAACAAAAAACCCGTATAAATGAAATTTATGAAAAAAATAACTGATAATTATAGAGTAAAAAATGGGTGTAGATTAATAAAAGAAAAAAAATAACCACTCATTACATAGAAACAGAATATACTTCATTATATTATTATATTAAGTAATAAATTTTCATCTTGATACGTTATAATAAGTATCCACCTCTCTTCTACTCACAAATGAAACCAGTTTTACCTTCAAAGGTTCTGTAGCAGTATATAGCAATTTATAAATATATATATATATATATATATATATATATATATATATATATATATATATATATATATATATATATATATATATATATATATATATATATATATAAATGTAGGTTTAAAGCATTTTTATAATCACTTATGTACCAAACTATTTCATTCAAAACAGTCAAAGTTTATGGAAACTGGTATTGTATTTTATGAACCTCAACACACTAGCTTCATAATTCCTTATGACTTACAAAATATATAATTGTTTACATTAGAATAATCTTTTAAGTTAATAATTAACCATTAAATATTAGATTTACAGTTTCTAAATAACTGCTCTTAAGAATCATACAAAAACCTGTCTCAATTTGTTGACAAATAAAAACACATATTACTGTGATTCAGTAAACTATTATTGCCCACAAATGCTCTGGTACGGCCGAGAGCTCTCCCTCTAAAAATGCTCTCACATGACCACACGCATACAACCACTGCCAGTGAAGTCCTACTCACTGCCTTCTCGTGGAGAGGGTGCTGCTTACAAAAGTGAAAGGACGAAAAGCGAATGTTCGGTGCTTTAACCGGGTTGGTGGACACGGTAAGTCCACCTATGGTAGTTGAAAAACCCTCATTCCAAATCAATCGCTCACATGGGTCCCAATATCCTGAAGTAACGAATAGCGTATGGTCACCGGTTACCATGGAATTGCACCTCTTGACGTTGCTCCAATGCCTTGTGGATCAGACCTTTATGTCAAAGGCTTTGGGTGTGGCCCCCTAAGAAAACCAATTGCTTCGGTTTAGGCATCCGGAATATATCACAGCGCACACACAAATCAAGTGACCTGTGTGACGCACATGTATTCAGTGCCCCCCTTGTACCAATATTTATATGTTCAACCCATAGTGCAGTCGAATAATGTACATGTCAGTTGAAATAATTTTAAAACGCATGAAGAAGATTCTGTTTATTAACATTATAACTATTAAATTTCAATTCCAACTTTCATATAACTGCATATATATATACTGAGATTATTTATAAATAGAAATTATGTAAATATTTGTGAAATGAGAAATATGCAAAATGAATATCATATTAATCATTTTAATTAAACTGTAATTAATTAACGAAATATTACAATATGTCCCAGAGGTAAAATAAATCACAAATAGGACACTATCCATTTTAGAAAACTGTAGCGTTAATGGGTATTCTATTTTTTAAAAAATTAAAAAAAAACAATCGTATCATAAATATCAACGAATACACAACAGAAGTTTAATGGATCATATAATCCAACCATTATACTTTTTCACTGGTTGAAATTGAGTCAATTGAAGCTAGACCACCATGGAAAACCTGGAAGCACTGGACAGCCGTTTCGTCCTAGTATGGGACTCCTCAGCAGTGCGTATCCACGATCCCGCCTCGCGAGATTTGAACCCTGTGTTTATTAATTCAACTATTAGAATTACTATGATATCTACAAAACCCCTCTCTGATTATATCTTTACGTGTTAAATTACTATAAATTATTGTTTTGGTTATGTAGTCAACCAGAAACTATTTTTGGTAGTTACATTGACTACTGAAAGTTGATGTGTATTTCTTTGAGTTTTCGCATGAATAAATTTAGATTTTCACTTGTTTATAAGACGTGTTTATAAAGTTCTCAAAGTCCAATTAGCTCTGTTTATGATTTAATTACTTCTATTCACGAAAGCAATGACTTAAATGTAACCTAAAATTCCTCATCCAGACTTATATAGAAGGAAAAGTTGAAATAGAAATTGTTATGCTTTAACCGATTCTTTATTACGGTTTTGCACGTTAATAATTGTGGTCTTATCCACAATATTCCTATACTTAGAATTATTTACAATTACTAGTCAAAATTGTATTCTAAGATTAGAGAGAACTGATTTATTGTTATGTTTATTCATTGAAACAAACAGATTATATAATAATAATGTGTTGAAAACTTTCACTGGAAGGTATAATATTGAAAGAGATTACCTAGGCACATTAATTATAATTAAAAGACAATAACGAGAAAAGATATTCAATTCTAAACAATATTCATCCTCAAAATACTATTGTCTACCAAATAAATCATAAAACTGCATATTAACATTCTAGTTATTGGATGTTTTTCTGAACGAACTGAGGCAACTTAAAAAGATGGAACCCAGTGGAATAAGCCATATTTAGTACACTTATTTGCACACTATGAAGCAAATCATCAAACAGTTCAAAAGCTCTTGATTACTTTTATTTGTCTGTTGCTTAGCGATGAAGTAAACCGTTTAGAAACTTGACAACCAAATTTGCAAAGTGTGAGCACTAAGTGAGTCCTTTTAAAAGAAGAGTTGAAATGGTAGACACACAAACGAATGAAAATAGATTCAAGTAATTTGTAACATACTGAGTCTTTGTTTAATAATTTAACATTATAGCTAACGTTCAGTACACATACTCGTGACAGGTCTAATTAAAAACTAGTCTAAAATGAATTAGTAATAATTATTATTAGATGCCACTTACAATTTATTTTATGTGCAATATATGAATGTTCAAGATGACGATTTCATTATATCACCTTGAATAAAAAGCACTAATTATTGGTGCATAGTTACATCCATGTAGACTTAGCTCAGCCAATCACCATTTACTCAACGGAACTTGGCATTTTGAAGCAGGTTTTGAAGAATTAGTCGCTTATCCGTTGATGATAACTTACTCAACCACTGAATGCATACCAAATATAAGTTAGAAAACAATACAATAGTTAAAGTATAGTATGCTTTTAAAAAATAGATCCGGTTTATAACATTTAACTGTATGCTTTAAATGTAAAGAACATTGTGATTTTTCAAAATAACTAAATTAATGTAACCATATTTAACTAAAAGATAAAATATATTTTTTGAATATGTGAATTCTAATTAAAGGTACTGAAATATGGAATGAGGAGCTACTTTTAAAAGAAAACTTCATAAATGGATCACCTAACCTATGTCAAAATGGTAGACATCAATCACCGATTAATATTATGACCAAAAATCTTGTTTATGATCATTCACTATCCGCAATGGAGATAGAAGGATTAGAAAAGCAAGTAAATTAGTTATAATAAAAACTTTTTGATAATTCAGTAACCTTGCTTTATTAATATTTCTGATGAACTGTTTAGTCAGATTAACACTTAAGCTTCTCTCTCTCTCTCTACGTCATCAATAATTTAATGAATGGACCCCATTTTCCAACATGATATCACAAGCCAACTTAAAGTTGACGAAGGAAGATAATGAACTGACAAAGATTGACTTTCACTGGATATTATTTAACATGATTTGTTTTATCTACTATTTGCTATCATACTAAGAAGTGATTTCGCATGAAAATTTCCTGAACATGAGTATATCATTGGTTTTTAATATGCAGTTCAATTTCACTCTAGAAATGAGCTGGAAACTAAACTTCTAAAGAACTAACTATCAATGGATAAAACGATTATCTTCACAGTTAACGAGTAAATTCTTGTCATTCATTAAAATGTGAACGAAGTTTAGTGACTAGTTTCATCACCACATAGCAGTTGGACAAATAATTTAAACTAAGACATAAACGAGGATATTTTACTACTAGAATGTCGGGGAAAAAATGATCAAAATAATTAAAATAAGAATAAAACATACATTTAAACCTCTTTGTTTTCTTCTGGCTAATAAGTTTTGCTACAGTTATAACTTCTATATAGTCGGCAAATTTTGACAAATAGATTATCTGAACAATGTAAAGCATAAAACCAATCTACTACATATAAATTCACTGAACTTTTCTTAAAATCCACATTTCAGTTTGCAATCAAAGAGGGGGTTTGTCGATATCATAGTAATTTAATAGTTAAATTCATGAGTCAATTGAAACTAGATCACAGTGGAAAACCTGGAAGCAACGGACGGACGCCTAACCGCTAGACCACTGAGCAGGCCGGCATACAACGGTGTAGATGTGTAACTTCAACTAATCCACGAAACTGCGCTACCGTCCACTATTTTCTTCAGTGAGTTACTATCTCACAACAGACCTGGTTGAACTCCACTAGTCACTGCTTCTCAATAGAACTCCAGAAAATACCTCTTGAAGCCAGTCACTAGTGAGCATTAGTTGATGTTAGTTGAGGTTGGACATTAACACCGTTGGATGCCGGCTCAGTGGTCTAGAGGTCAAGCATTTGTGCGCGAGACTGATAGGTTCTTGGTTCGAATCTTACGAAGCGGAGTCTTGGATTCGCACTGCTGTGGTGTCCCATACTAGGACGAAACAACCGTCCAGTGCTTCCATGTTTTCCATGGTGGTCTAGCTTCAATTGACTCATGAATTCAACTATTACATTTAACATTATTTAAAGTATTACGATGTAACCCAAGTCCCCATAAACTTTTAGTTATTCTATATTCATGCGAATATAATTCGTTAATCTAACCAATAGTCATACAAATCGAATCAATCAGAAAGATAAAAAAACTAATCGTTTATAATTTTATACTACTAACTAATATGAATACAATAAAACAGACTCATTGATTCAAACACATATCTATTAAATATTCAATTGTCAAATACAATTTTTTTTACATTATTCTCACAGTTCTTATTTATTCTATTTGTTATTTTCATTTATGACAAGTGTCCACTTACAAAAATTTGTATTCAATGTTACAAATGACAGAATACTCTATTTTCTGTTGTTGTTTTTCTTGAATAAATTCAACATACATAACTCTACTAAATAATCCTAATTCAATAAGTGTAATTAGTTATTCTATATCTTTATTCATATCGTATAAATCTACATTTTTATTTATTTGTAATGAACTTTTGTTTAAATGACAAATCACATTATTTATCATTCATAAAATAGATAGATAGATAGATAGATGTACTTGTCTAATTTAATTAACCTAAATTATAGGAACAATAAACATATATACTGATTAGATAGTATGTTCCTTTCATGGAAAGATAATAGTTGAATACATTTCTTTCTATTATAGAATAAATAAAATGAATGAAAAGTGTTTAATTATGATTAGTTTTTTATCAAATTTTCTTTATATAGTTCAATCATTTATGATGTAATGATAAATATATTATGATAAGGCGTTCTGAATCTTATTTGTTGGAGGATGAATGACATACAAATTGATTTAGTCCAATGGTTTATGAAACCGGTCATATAAGTCTTTTTTTATGGTTTGTGTACTAACATATTATTTTATTAAGTAAGAAAACTTATCCTCTGATATCAGTTGTGTTAAAGGGTTACATTAATGATTCAGTTTTGTGTGACCATAATTTACGAAGTACCTTTGGATGAATTTAATTTGACTTTAAGAAATATTAGCCAGTCGGAAAACAGTTCGCATAGAGTAAAAATATACACTTGTTTTACATGGTTCAAAAACTTGTCAGCGTTAGAAAGAGGTTCAGAGGTTCTAAAATCGTAACGAATGCAGTAGAGCGAATCATTCATATGGTTCCATAATAGTCGGCCTCCGGAGCCATGATAAGGTCGCAAAAACTCATTCAGCTTCGACCACATGGCTTCAGTATTGTTTGTGTGCACTGCGGTTGTTGGTTCCGCAAAATGCCACCTGTGGATAACGGCACGATACACATAAACAAGTCTATGTAGCCATCTGTACGCTCTCTAATCATCCGTATATACTGTAGTACCCGGTACCAGCCAGTGTTATTGATGCTTTCATTATCTGGTTCACGAGAACCGTTTCAATTTGGATTGGGCGAAAAAAGTCCTAATCTAGCAGACTTCTTCCAACACATATGACATCAAAAGACAATAACATCACGGTAATCTGCACAAGGGCCACAAGTAATTTGATTACCACAATCACGAATAAAGGAAATTCTTAGTAGTCCCATTTATTATAGTAGCTCAATTATCACATTTTCTCTAAAATCCTCTGTAAACCGATCATACGTGAGTATCAGGTTCTGAAATTGGTGCCGTGATCTTGAAATACCTGAAACGCCTCGGATTGACTCGACCATAAATTATAGTCTCGCCGAACAATCCTCAAATATCTTTCCGTTAAAAATCATGAAATTTAATCTATAATATGATATAAATTGCAAACGAAATTCAGCTAGACAACCATTAAAAATTAAAGTCTTTACACAACTCTCTTTTCAACACAACCGATACTACAAATCACGAATATCTTCAATTAATTTGCTGTGAATGTGTTTATGAAATTAGTTATCATTAAGAAAAATTTTGATATGACTTTGATAGATAACTGAATTTATGTTACTATAAGAAGAAATTAATCAAATTCCGAAGATCTACTCTGGATACTCTTGTTGATAAGTGTTATATTTTAATTAGTACACTGTTTTTAATATATTTATTTTCTTTATAAGCTTGAACTAATCATTGAAAATTGTGGATACGATATACGTATAAGTTTAACTAATGAATTTGTACAATTAAATGGTGGTCCATCCTCATATGCTTATCGAATTTCTTTTATGCAAATTAAATTTGGATCAGCATCAACTCAAGGATCAGAGCATACAATAGATGGTAAAGCATTTCCAGGTGAAGTAAGTAAGACTATTTCTATTTACGAGTAGTGAATTATTCTAGTTATAAAGTTATTTTCCTTAATAAAATATTTATTCAATCTGTTTAATTAGTTTACTTTAAGGATCAATTACAACTATACATCTATGTGTTTTTTTTCTTTATTTTATACCCTGTTTTACATTTAAAGACTCATGTTTTATACCACAATATTTTATTTAATTGTAAATGCTTCCTTTCCATTATGTTTAAGTCAAGTATAGTTTATATATAAATGATTGGCATTAACGCCAAACTTAATTAGATTTAAAGTAATCAAAACCTCCGTCTCTCCATGTTAAGTTTGACTATGAAACTAACTATGAAACATAATCATATAATCATTTATATGGAAACTATAATACACTGAGAACCTGTGGATAGTGTAAACAATTGTTTACAAACTGTAAAACTTACATTGTAATGCATTATATGCTTTATAAACATGAGGATTTATATTGTTCAATCACAAATTTGATAAATAAATTTTTGTTTGTATATTTAAGAATCTATGTATTTTCTAGCAGAGTATAATTCAATACACACCACACAACATCGTGATTATCTTTCTGTAATGAAAATGATTTTCATCTCTCACAGTCATACTTATATAGATGCTTAGACTATTATAACATTACTATTAGTATGTGGATTGTTTGTAATAATGAAACAATGTGATATATTTATAACATCTCAATAAGTAGAAAATTGGATTACTGATATCAGTTTTCTTAATAATAGGCTTATCCATAAAACGTAGAAGAACATTCTACAGAGCGTTTTGAACCTGAGTATTTATTTGTCACTACTCATTCTTAAGATCTGAATGTAAGTCCTGTAGGTTTTCTTTCTGATATTACAACTTGTATCAAAGGCGGCCTGCTTGAGCATCTGGGCTACCTGTTCCTGCCATCTAGATATTTCAACAAGTTATCTATTGTTGTTTGTTTTAATATATCGTTATGTTTATCAATCGCATAACCTATTCTGCTGCGTTTCTGAAAAGTGTACAACCTTTCGTTGTCAAAGTTACAGAAAACTCAATAAGAGACAATATGGTTGCTGGCAATGTACAACGAAAAGAATGTACATTATTCAGTTGTTCATTCACTGAAGTGCCAACATCTAACTGGCGATTCTTCAATACTTATCGCCAGGACCAACCAAGAAGAAAGAAACGGAAACTTGTTGAAATACTTTGCGCTGAGAATTCTATATTGTACCAAAATTATAATATTGAATAAAGCTAATAATAATAATTATAATAATTATAATAATCATCCAGTCCTTAAACTATTGGCATTAATAACTGATGTCTAAAATACTTGTCATAAACATTTATCATTATATTTGAACATACTTATTTCCAATTCACAATGAATATTCAAATTGTTTGCTTTCATCCACTCCGTATACATAAAACAAAAATAAATTTTATAAACAAAAGTTCCTTTTCAAAATACTTTAGGACAAGTTTAATTTACAATCATTAAAGTGGCGTTTTTTAGGGAGTTGGTCTTCTACTGGATGGGGTCGTCAACTCCATACCCAACCCTCTTCTTTTGTCAGGGTTTGAGACCGGAAGTAGCCCTAGAGGGGCTCCAGGCGGAATAAACTAAACTCATAGATACCTGAATCATTCACTTTAAGAAAGAGTTTCTTGCAAATATCACCATTACTGTAATTATAATTTGAGTCGAATGAATCAAAAAATATACAAAAAGACTTTCAGACATACCATTCATACATTCAAATTAACTTCACGAAAAAAGTAATGACTTGTTTCTTAAAACAAACTTTAATTTGAGCCTTTAACAATTAAATATTGTCGAAATTTTTTTGGCTTTTTTAGCTTTCAAAAATACGATAAATGTTTACTTCGGATTGTATGTTTACTAAAATTAAATAAATGACTTAGAAATAAAACTAATTAAATATCAACTATTGAATTACTAGTTTGAATTCCATTTTAACTTAATTCAATTTGCATAAATATCCTTCATTCATAAAGTATTACTTAAAGCTTGATTTTTAAACCTGTGGTTAGTTACTGAATTTACTAATATTTGCACCAGCTGATCACTGATTAATAACCGTGGTATTGATTAAATTATATTGATTAGTTTGCTATATGGTCACTAGTCTAAGTACTGCTGAGGAGTCTGACAACGGGACGAAACGGCCGTCCAGTGCTTCTAGGTTTTCAATAGTGGTTTACTATCAATCGGTTCATGATCTCAATCAAAAACTTAGTAATCTCCACATCCCCTATATTACAAATATAAATGTTTTATTAAGAGTTTAAATTAAGTTAAACTATATCGAAAGTTATCGATGAGTTGAACTGTTATGTCTAGAGGTTAGATCATTGATATACCTTGTACAACTTGAGCACTCAAACAATAGAATCCTCTTATTCGCAAATGAAAAGACAGAAGAGTGAGAAGGAATGCTGTTCTGAACCGTATCAAATATGTTACAAAACTCTCAAGTATTTACATATTTTAGTAAAAGTGAAGGGAATTTATCGGAAAGAATATTTTCCGTTCAAATATTAGTCTTTTAATATGATGGGGATCTTTAAACGATTAAAAGTGAAATCATCATTATAGTCCTCCAACCCTCATCCAGTGGTCTTTGGCATTTGTCCAATAGGAAAGCTACATGTCGAGATCCTGGATAGTTCTTCCAAACGATGATTAGATGAAATGTACTTGTTCCTTTCTGAGCTTCTTAGAGTTTCCTCAACTTCACACTTCGACCGTCCTCATATAAACTTTATTCTTGAAAAAACATTGAATAATTTCCAATAAAACTTATTCTTTTGTGAGGTAGTAACTCACTGATGACAATGGTGGATGTGTTACTCAGTTTCGTGGAATAGTTGAAATTAGACACACACCGTTGGATGCCGGCTCAGTGGTCTAGTTTCTTAAACGCCTGGCGCGAGACTAATAGGTCCTGGGTTCGAATCCCGCGAGGCGGAGTCGTGGATGCGCACTCCTGAGGAGTTCCAAAATAGGACGAAACGCCCATCCAATGCTTCCAGATTTTCCATGGTGGTCTAGCTTCAATTGACTCATGATCTCGACTATTGAAATTACTACAATCTCCACAAAACCCCTTCTGATAATAATTCATCTACTCTTTATTTTGATAACGGAAATGAATAATAAATATTTTGTAATTATATGACATAATAATTATTCAACTTATTACTATTATTATTAAAATAAACCCTTTTCCTCTTCTTCTCTCTATTTAACCAATATGATTATTGCCAATACTACTATTATATAACTATTGTTATTTCAAATAAATTATACTTTATCAGTTTTTACTTGTCTGACAACAACAGCACCACCACCACCACCGAAAAAGAAAAACATTCCACTTTATTTTAACCTCAAATAAAATTAAATTAAAATTTTGATTTGTTTTGTTTATTTTTTTTTAAAAATACAAAAAAACAAAGATGTACTTCTATGGGAAATGAAAATTGAAAAATATTTAATGAATAATTTTCTGTGAATTTTTCACTTGATATCCAGAAATGAATAAAAAAGAGAAGTAAAACGACCGATAGACCAGAAAATACTGAATTGATTCTTAGTATTGAAGCATTGAATAATATAAAATAGGTGTATTAATTATGTGTCTATATGTAGATATGTAAATGGATAAATGAACAAGAAGAGAAAATTAAAATAAAATTCAATTTAATTAATCGTTATGTAAAAAAATTATTTAGTGAATACACGAAATTGTACAAACATCTTGTATTGTCTTTAATGGATGACTGTTTCACATCGGACACAGATTAGCTCCATTCATCATGGCTTCTTACTTGAACTGCGAGAATTACCTCTTGAAGATAGTCTATAGTGAGCATATGATAATTTTCAGTATAGGGTTGTGAAGATTGTTGAGGTTTTGATTGAGATCATACATCGATCAGTGGTAGACCACCTTTCAAAACCTGGAAGCGATGAACAGTCGTTTCGTCCTAGAATGGAACTCATCAGCAGTAGTCTAACATTGATAGATCTCAATCAAAAACTCAACGTTTTCTACAACCCAACACTGATATTTAGTGATTAATTTACAGTGTTCTTATTTAAAGAAAAATTAAATGATATATGAAACAGTGACTCAGTGGTTAAACATCTAAAACTAATCTACTGCAATGTAAGCTTGAATCCTGCCTCAACTGTTTTCATTTCGACCTATCATATTGCTACAATAGTCTCCACAAATAATAACCAAAACATGCTGACTTTTAGATAATGTCTATTACATTAAATTAACATAGTGTATGTTAATAATTATGTATGTATAATAGAAATGAGAAATTTCAATCTATTTGGGATACTTCATCAATCGATCTTGTAAATAATATGTACCCAGTTATATATATATATATAATCACTTCAAATGATTTGCAATAATAACAGATAACAATCTGAAGATATCGAATTTGATAAAAATAACAAAAAGTTCCCATGAAGACTCAGTAGCTAAGTGAATAACGCGATGATGTTTGAAGCGGATGATACTGGGTTCGAGTCCTAGAGTGAACATCAACTCTGAGATGCAGGTACATCCAGCTGACGAGTCCCAAATAGAACAAAATACGTGTCCTGGATTCTACTGCTAGCCAATATCCATCCTTTTTAACAAAATGTTTATTTTAGTTTATTTCTGTTGATAATTTAATCTTTTATTATTTTTATTGTCAATTGTTTGACAGTTGCAGATTTATTCATTCAACAATGAATTATACAATAATTTATCTGAGGCATTTTATCGTCCGAATGGTATACTTGCTATCAGTGTTTTCTTTAAAGTAAGTTTTGTAAATGAATACAATGGTTATAGTTTAAAACTATATAATAGATAAACATATATATTTCAAACGTCAATCTAATATCATTCTATCACCAGATATATATTTGTATGAATAATAGATAATGTGAATAAGAGGTAACTGGGTCAGTAAAGCATTTAATAAGTAAGAAATTTTACTTATAAATTCTGTTTACTCAATTAGATTGACAAAGGAAATTTATCAAGAAAAATTGTCAAAAATGATGGTGTAGTGGTCTCTTGGTTGTCCTGAATTTAATTCATTTTAGTAGCTCGTTCACTTGGAAGAAAAAGACTTTTAACACTTTTTCTGTTGACAATATTCATTTTGTACACCCACTAGTTTCCATCTGTAACGTAATTTTAATTCCTAGGCACTTGTAATAGAATTTATTTATTCTGGCTATAGAAAGCAATCTCAACAATAAATAACTTATTTCTTGAACTATAACGTCCAGTTTGATATACTGAATTGCCATTCCGTAATTTTTAAACGAGATGAAGCTCAGTAAAATTTCAGAGTTGAAGTATTCTCAGTGTGCTACTGTCTCCAATCCCTCCTAAACGATTATAACTTTGTGATCCAAACTAGTCAACTTCAGGAGGTTTCAATGATAATATTTTTATCCGAGTGTATTAACTTGATAAAATTGCCCAGCTTATCACTCATGATAACTTTAGAAACTATTTTCCAAATCAATTTTACTGAAGGCTTAGACATTAGTAGGCTTTAATAAACAATATCTTTTCTACTTTACAGATTGGAAATGCAACGAATAAGGACCTTTTAGGAGTTGTAGCTGCAGCCGAACAAACAATATTTAAAGGTAAATATTTATCTCTATTAAATTATGGTCATTACATATTATTCATCAACGGAATAATTTTTATTTGAATAACCATTTCTGAGATAGTAAGATTTCATCAGTTTAGATCTTGTAAACTATTTGATATATTTTGATAAACTCATTACTGATATTTAAATATATCATAGGAAGTTTTACAATATACGTGAGGGAAAATTTCCAAACAGCGGCTTTATTATTATATCGGTACCTTTTACATCAATGTATTGAGCGCTTTTATCAATCAAGCAACTGTTCATTGTAAAAAGAATGAATTGCTTCAAAACAAGATGCTTTCTGCTTTCGCCTAGTTTAGTCACTTCATCAGTGCAATACAAGCACATAGGTGCAAACACTCTACATCTATTTACTTGATAAAAGTAATGGTTTGTAACTTTCTGTTGTTAACATTCAGGATTGCAAATGATCAGTCTCTATTGCCATATATGCGTCCTTAATTGATCCTCTCGATATTATCTTACGCCCGAATAAAGGGAATTGTGAATAGTAGTGAATTCCAAGGAACACACTTTATCCGATTTGGGACTCATAATTTTAACATTCCTGTGTCATTGCCGTAATGTTCTCAATTAGTTTGGACTTTTAGTTTGACACCCAAGTTTTTATAAGTTGCAAAAACACAGTCTTTATTTAAACACTTGGATGTTTCCAATCTGATGAATTCAATAATGAGTTCAAAGTATTTCGGTACAGTTAGATATATGTCTTGAATAATGTGACTAAAGATAAACATCAAAAGACATGTTTTTCATTTAGAGTATAAATTCTCATAATTTGTAAATTGAATTTTATTTGAAGTTTAATTATAACTCTCGATGTTGAATCTCAAACCTGCTTGGTTCATTTGTACTTTTTGTTATCGAGGGACATTTAGCGCAGATTTTAAAAATCGAAATATTAAATTAATTAATTGTTGACTAACTTTGGGTATCCATTTCTTTTTCTACTATGTAAACCTAATAACCATTATATTCATATTGGTAATAAAATTATCCACTTTGACAACTGAACTAAGCAATGTCTTAACTTAAACACAAATTCTTTATACACCTTTTGCGAATTCGATAGATTTTTGAAAAAAAATCATTTTCATACTGAAACATAAACTACTCGTTAATCAGGATTTCTGTTGGATATGCCGAATCCTTATAAATCTTTTGATAAACGTCTTAATTTTGTAATTTTATTTTGAAAATCTAAACTTCTCGTTTCCGCACTGAAAGCGCCAATTTTTATTTTCAGATTATATTTCCCACTTAGAAAGATCTTAAATATCATTGGTTCATTGCCGCTTTCAATACGCCAATTTGTAAAGTTTCCCAGGAACCTTTTTATGCCATATATATGCTTGAGTTTCGTGCTTGGTTCGTTCGTGCTCCTGGCTGCTTATAGAATATACTTTTACCTAAGTTACGAATCTGATCTTCTTCTAGTTAACAGGGCTAGGGAGAATTGAACTAGCTTAGCTTATCCTGTTATTGTGTTATAGACCTTCGTTCCGTTTGCCGTTTTTAAGTAATATCATGATCTCTTCAAACATTACAATTTCACCAAAGATCCTACAGATAAAATTTTTGATAGTAACAGTTCAATTATTTCTTTTCTAATAAAATTTAGCTTTTTATTTCTTTATTGTAAACTTTTTCACAGGAAACAACAATCAATAATTTTTATCAGTTACTATTCATTTATGAAATTTAATAAATCAGGTCAAAAATGTAAATAAAATTATCACAAATATTCTGAACTATAATTACCTTATATTTAATGATCATAAATTGTATACAACTAAATAGTTTACCTACAGAAAACAAGTAATTCAGTTCAGTAAACTAATAAATAAATGTAAAGTATCTTTCTTGATTAAAATATGCTTTTGAAGTTTCCTTTTGAATGTTGGCATTCAGTTTGCCTGTTTTATTATGTAAAATAATGTTAATAGCTTTTATAATGCATGAGTAGACACAGTTAACCTTCTTTCATTTATTACACAGGTGATTGATTTAATAAGAGAAGTTCATTATGACGATAAACTGATAAAGTTTATGCAATTGGTTCCCTTTATGAATTTAAATAAAGCAAGAACAAATATTGGTGCAGAATAGTATGAATTCATATTATTTCGAGGTTTCTCGTCAGCTGCTTACAAACCAAAAAATGTGATAGAATTTTTACATTGAGATAGAGTGAAAACAAATGACATAGATGAGTGTAAATATCTGGGTTACAATAATAACTATATATATATGCTAAAACAGGTCAGAGGTCAAAAGGAATTAATTCGGGTTGGGTGGTGTAATAATGCAATTGAATAATCATAAGATAGGTTACGTAATAATAATTAAATAGAATATGAAAAGTTAAGATAGTTTAGGAGGATCAGGTGGTGGAAATGCGTAAATAATAATGTGGTTTAAGAATTATGTAATAGGGGAGGAATATAAATATTTTAAAGTAAATAAAAATAAAATAGTGATAATAATAATAATAATAAAGGGTTGCCAGGGTAGTGATAAGCTAATTAACGTCTCTTTCAACAGTGCAATAGCTCGACATCTACTCGACACCGGGCACACCATCGACATTCCTCATGCTTTCAAAGTTATCAATAGACAAAGAAATACGACCACCCTCCGTTTTGCTGAAGCTATTATGATCAAAAAACTTAAACCTGACTTATGCATTCAAAAAGAGACTTTAATTAACTTATCACTACCCTGGTAACCCTTTTTTATTATTATTATTATTATTATTTATTTTATTTTTATTTACTTTAAAATATTTATATTCCTCCCCTATTACATAATTCTTAAACCACATTATTATTTACGCATTTCCACCACCTGATCCTCCTAAACTATCTTAACTTTTCAAATTCTATTTAATTATTATTACGTAACCTATCTTATGATTATTCAATTCCATTATTACACCACCCAACCCGAATTAATTTCTTTTGACCTCTGACCTGTTCTAGCATATATATATATATATATATATATATATATATATATATATATATATATAGTTATTATTGTAACCCAGTTATTTACACTCATCTATGTCATTTGTTTTCACTCTATCTCAATGTAAAAATTCTATCACATTTTTTGGTTTGTAAGCAGCTGACGAGAAACCTCGAAATAATATGAATTCATACTATTCTGCATCAATATTTGTTCTTGCTTTATTTAAACTGATAAAGTTTAATTCAAAACAATATCTTGAAGATAATTTTCATGTGTAGTAACAGGCTAACTATGTAGTTCTTTGATGATCCTAATTTAATAAACATTCATTTATTGTGTTGACATGAAACTAACTATAATTATTCACTGAAAACTCATTGGGATTTTATTTACACTGTACACGTTAGCCATCACTTTTTTTTAAAAAACAATCGTTTGATTCCGAGAAACTTATATTATGATTAGAGAGGTTGTTTGTAGAGTTTTGAATAACTGGATCATGGTATTCACTGTAAAACTGATAATATTTGAAGAACAATTCAAAACTGAAATGTAATTCGCTCAGTGATCTCTTATTTGGTCAGAAAGACCAAGTAAAACTTTTACTAGACCTTCCAATATTAATACTAAAGTTTAATAAATATTAAATAAATGTTGCATATCTGATTTAGCAAAATGAAAGATTACAAATTGAATTCTTAAAGACCGAATTCGTACTTTAATTTCAAACCCGTTTTCAATTTACTTCGTAAGTTCATAGAGTGATTGGAATTCAGCAGAATTGCGTATCACTATACGGCTAAATTCTAAACACTAAATTCTAAATGAAGATAAGTGGGTATTTTTAGCAATAACTAGTGGATTCATTTACATAAAAATCTATTATAGGGAACTAGCTTATGTTGTAGCTGGAAATTCAATCAATGTATGAAATAAGCGATATCGTGATTAAATGTGCAGTCTACAATGTAGAAAATTAGTGTGAGTTAAATACTAATAAGATCGTCCAAGATCACTAACATTTAAACTTTAGAATAGTACTTGGTGTAATGAGTAAGTTCAATACTGATTAATATTATTTTAGTTCTCATTATGGCGTTTCCGTTAACCAACCAAAACATATGATTATTTCTTAATGTAAATAATTATTATAAATACTAATATTCTGACTGTTTAGTACTACTTTTCAAACTTCGTTTGCAGGTGAAACATTCCAGCTAAAAGGTCTTGAACTGCGCTCATTACTAACATCAACACATGAGTTTATGACATATGAAGGATCATTGCCATTTCCTCCATGCCATGAAACAGTTACCTGGATCATATTGAATCATCCTATAATGATTACTGAAACTGAAGTGAGTTTACGAAAAAAATCCTAATTGTTAAATGAATTTCATACATTGTCTCTAGGGATTCCTATAAGTGTTTTAAGTCAGTAAAAACACGAGTCCTAGACTTAAATGAAATCATTTTATAGGAGGATTTCTCTTCAGCTATAAAAAGTCCGAATTACACAATCTCTCTCCATTATTTCCCATTTTTACGACAAATTAAATATTTTGGCGGGTTGCAATAGAACAAAATGTTTGTTATACGGTAATTATCGACAAATTTCCATAATAACGATGAAAGACTTTTTGATCAATACATGAAAATTTAGAATTTCTTAAAAGAAATATATTTTTAACCTCATTTAAAGGGTTTTATAGTCGTTCAAATGATAGTTATTAATAATATGTAATATAGTCTCTATGGCTAACTGAATTTTATCAGACAATCATGTAATAAACATACTAGTCAAGAATAATTGACATGACGATACATTTACTTAATCTAGGAGTTCATGCATATCGTCACTAGGATGATTAGTGTATTTAACCCGGTTTTATATAAAGTAATTTACTATTTGGACGACATACTGTAAATGTTTCTACGCCACTGAAAAGTGCTAGCTTATATTTCCAATAACTTATTAACTTTTTTTAATATCTCATGTTCTCTTTCCTGTGAAATACCAGGAAACAACCAAACCTAGAACTTGAACCCACTAAGTATCGTTTGGCTTGTATCTTCCCATTGAGGTTTAAGACTGCAATTGATCAGTCTGTTATTGGCATATGTAATAATCCTGGATTCCACTGCTAGCCACTATCCATCATTCCTTACAAAAAGCTTGTGAATTAAGGCAACATCAAGGCATACGCACAGTATGCACATATGCCAATAACAGACTGATCAGTTGCAGTCTTAAACCTCAATTGGAAGATACAAGCCAAACAATACCAAGTGAATTAAAATTCACCCCATTGCACAAGCAAGTGGCTATCAGGACTTAGTAGCAACGTGGATAACGCGACGGCGTTTGAAGCGAACGGTACTGAGTTCGAGTCCCAGAGTGAACATCAACTCTGAGATGTAGGTACATCCAGCTGACGAGTCCGTAATAGGACGAAACGCGCATCCTGGATTCCACTGCTAGCCACTACCCAACATTGCTTACTAGAACTTGAACTGTTAATCTATTCCTTTCAAATATCTACCGAAATTAAAAAGGTATATTTGTTCATTCTTTCTCAACTCAATATAGTAATCGGTAATAAGTATCACTTTTAATGTAACAGTTTAGAAAAATTCATCGCATGCATATCATTAAAAAACTATCGATTAAGTCTGATATTTAAAAGAAAAAAGTTAAAATTTATTTTTTGAATGATAAAACAAAAATAATCTCCATTTAAACATTAAAAAATTGAAAATACGAAGTTCATCTAAGGGATCTCTTTTCAACGGATTTATTATCAAGCTGTACAATCGTATATATTATCAGAAGGGTTTTGTGGAGATTTTAGAAATTTTCACAGATTGAAATCATGAGTCAGCTGAGGAGTCCCATACTAGGACGAAACGGCCGTCCAGTGCTTCCAGGTTTTCCATGGTGGTCTGGCTTCAACCGACTCATGATTTCAATCTGTGAAAATCGTATATATATTTTTAAAAAATTTTTGTTAAAGTACTAATTCTGTGAGGAAATATGAACACAATTAACCAAGATGATGTAATAAAAAGATTATAATACTAGATTACGTAATACGAATAATAACAATAGATTTAGTGAATATAATAAGACGATCAAAATGTTTTTGTTATAATAATTAAAGGTCATAGAGGTGTAAAAATAAATAAGGTGACATGGTGAGTATTTATGAATAAATCAATGAGAATATAAGACAAAAGTAAAGGGGAATACAGTAATAATAATATTAATTAAGGCCAAGGTAACGTTAATGATAAGACGTACTTCTTTTGTACGCATAGTTCTGGTTTAAGCTCCTGGATGGTAAGAGCTTCGGCTATTTTCAAGAGTTGGATACGAAGAAATCTGGGTAGATTTGAACGAATCATATAAACAACCTTAAAATCACACTGCGGATCCGGATATTGATTACAGTCGATTAGGTGTTCAAGTATAGAACTCCTATCTACCTTCCTTTCACCCTTTTAGAACCAGCCTGGGATATGTTCCCGTATCCGAGTTTAAAGCGAATGCTGGCTACAACCAATGTAACTTTTTTTACAGCTTGATAATAAATTCGTTGAAAAGAGATCCCTTCGCTGAACTTTGTGTTTTCAAAACAAAATTAATCCTTTATATCTCATAGACAATTCATTTAAAATTTGACTCAACTACTCTATATATTTATAATGTGATTAAATTATTGGTTAAATGAGTAATATAACATTGATGAAGTTTCCACCGTTTATTATTCTTTTTTCCCTTCTATATTTTATATAAAATGTTTATTGAAGGATCAAACTTTTAAGGTTAGAAAAAAAGAAAAAGAAAAAAAACATCCGTGACTTTGTTTAAACCGAATATAAATATGAAATAGTATGAAATTTCGTTATTATTATAAAAGTACAAATGATAATTCATTTTTCCAATGTACAACAATCAAATGAATTTCTACCGACAAAATTCTGTTTATGGTTTTATTTAGAGAAAAAATTAATATTAAACTTAGTTTCATGTTTGACAAATTCTTTCAACCTACTTAAATGATCAATTATACTTCTTGTTAATTCCCATACAAATTGATATGCACTGTGGGGTTTTCTTCCTCCCCAACTTCATAATGATGTAGGCAAAAGTATAATTTCTATCGAATTATTAAAATAATAAATAATTATAAAATGGTATGTAATATTTATAAATAATATTAGGAAAAGACTTGTCAAATATTAACAAAGTTTATAAAAACACGAAGAAGTAGAAGAAGAAGAAGAAGAAAGCAGGAATTAAGATACAAAGTATCATAAGATTATTTTCTACATAAGAATCTATGTTTTGGATCTTACAGATCATAGTTTCTCCACCATTCACCCACCCTCCCCTCCCCCCCCACAAAAAAAACGAACAGAACCAATATGCCGGTGTAACTGCTGTAAATATATAGGGAGTTGAAACATTATTTCTACAGGATCAATAATGAAAATACCATGAGCAACAAACTACTGTTAGAGAACAAACCAGATTCCAGAGAAGAAAGAAATCAGGAAGAAGCTCTGGAAGTGGATAAGACACACATTGAGGAAAGCACCCAACTGCGTCACGAGGCAAGCCTTCACGTGGAATTCTCAATACCAAAGGAGAAGAGGAAGATCAAAGAACACATTACGTCGAGAAATGGAGACAGATATGAGAAGAATGAACAACAATTGGATAGAAGTAGAAAGGAAGGTTCAGGACAGAGTGGATTTTAGAAGGCTAGTCGGCGATTTATGTTCCATTGGGAGTCAAAGGCGTAAGTAAGTAAGTAATAATGAAGATGATAGAAACAAAAGAAAGTAAATGTAATAATTAAAGATCATTAAGAATCAAAATACGGGTTATTAGAAAAGTTACCAAAGGTTCTTCTTCATATGAATTTTAGAACTATTTTCAAAATGAACTGTTAAAATTTAAAGTAATTGATAATATTATCAGAATGGGTTTCGTGGAGATTTTTAGAAATTTCACAAGTTGAAATCATGAGTCAATTGAAGTTAGACCACCATGGAAAACCTGAAAGCACTGGACGGTCGTTTCGTCCTGGTATAGGACTTCTCAGCAGTGCGCATCCACGACCCCGCACCTCGCGGGATCCAAACCCAGGACCTACTGGTTTCGCGCGCGAGCACTTAACCATTAGACCACTGAGCCGGCAACCAACGGTGTTAATGTCTAACCTCAACCAATCAACGAAGTTGCGCCAACGTACACCATTGTCTTCAGTGAGTTCCTATCTCACAACAGACCTGGTTGAACTCCACTGGTAACGACTTCTCACTAGAACTCCAGGAGTATCTCTTGAAGTCAGTCACTAGTGAGCAGGTGATAGCCTTAATGAAGCTTCAATTTTTATCACACTTTAGATGTTTCACCAAACTGGTGATACATAAAATCATTATCAGGTACTTACTGACTTGAATGGAAAGCTTTTAATTATTTATCAAGATAAAAAGAGGGGTAATTGGTCGAAATTATCTGAAAAGTATATGAGTTTAGAAAATGAATTTTTCGTTGGATGACTTATGTGTAAATTGGATTGCCGCTAATCTCCTTTATTATATGTTAAGATTTTGCTTTAAATTAACTACAATAATCTAAGCCTTAAGAAATCTATGATTATAATGTGAAACTGTTATGTTGACTTAAAAATCTTTCGTTAAGATAATCAACAGAAAAAAGTAACAGCTGTGTTGCTATCTTTATTGTTTTGTACTGATGTATGTTGAGTTTTATTTGCCCTAAACATTTCAAAGCTTTCACTAACCATCTGACTAAAATTGTATCTTTAATATATCTTTGCATATATTAACTCATTTTTCAGTTAATCATAAGCAGAGTGTGTGGATTTTGAACTCCAGTTTTATTTAATTTTGTTACTATTTGAACCTTATCAACTTCACAACTAAATTTATTCTCTATTTCTATTTGGATTTGATTATAGAAGTAAGGATAATCAAAACTCGCTTCTATAAAGTCTAAATTATTGTATAATAAGTGTTTTACCAAGAGTGTATAGGAAAAAAGAACTTATCAAAAAAGTAATATTTCATTAGTAAAATGAAATCAGACATAAAAAGCATTCAAAAACTAACATTGTTTTTTCCGGATGACTTGCGCTTTTCCTCAAAAATCATCTTTTAGAAAGGAAGTTAAGCGAATAAATATTTCTTTTTATTATTAGTTTTACACTAATAACTTTTTTCTTATAATAGGAAACCGAGTAGAAACCAATTAAATGGTGGTGAGCTATTGATCAGTATGTATAAATTTGGAATGAAAACAATAATTACCAGACAGGTGTTAGGT